CTAAGGTGCAGGGATTATATGTTCATCACATATTTTAATTTGTGGCTGGTCACGTCGTGTGACGGGGTTACTCATTTAGGGGTTACTCGATTGGTCAAAGGTTACTTATTCGGGGCTTATTTATTCAGGGGTTACTCGGTCGGTCAGGGGTTACTCTTACATAGAAAACGTGCTAACCGACTTAGTAGCCCCAAAATAAGTAATCCTTGACCGATTGAGTAACCCCTAAATAACTAACCCCTGAATAAGTATCCCCGGCGAAAACGCGCTAACTAACTGAGTAACCCCAAAATAAGTAACCCTTGACCGACTGAATAACCCCTAAATAAGTAACTCCGGCCACACAGAAAAAGGAATGTATCTTCATACTCTATCCGACCAAAGATATGAACCGTTTTGACTACGGAGTACAAAATTCAAAGAGTTTTTTTTTAGGGAATTTGCCCTCCAAAACTTACCTTTTTTTTTTTTTTTTTTAATCATCAATTTGCCTTGGAAATTCTATATTAATTCTCCGTATGTAATTGACTACAGAGTTTTGTGTTATATTTCTCTAGATACTTCTATATTCAATTATCAATAATTTATAAAACCTAACATGGCTCGGGTTTAATCTAGTTTTCATACATTTATTATATTGTATACTGTACGCATATTCCATCTTAGTAGCCACGAAGGAAGAGAAAGTGAGAAGGGTATAAGATTTATATCCCTTTCATCAGCGATTGTCATATGAAAGGATGGAGTTAGAATATTGTTGTGATTTTGCTTAAACTTTCTCATGAACGATGATATATAGAATCACGTATGATTTGTAAATCGTGGATTATATTCAATAACAATAAAAATTGTTCAATGATGAGATCTTGGCCTAATAATTAAAATTGAGGGCTTAGGTACGATAGGTCATAAGTTTAAATCTCCCCACCTCTATTTGTAAGTCACTAATTTGTATTGTCAAAGATTGTCTATGTAGCCTTTTTTTTTTTTTTTTTAATAAACATTATTAATTGTAGTAAACATTTAATGGTATCTTAATTTTCCTAATTTCTAAACAACCTCTCCGCTATCCCTCAAAAAAAAAAAAAAAAAAAAAAAAAACCTCTCAGCTAATCAATTACATACTACTAAAAGTAAATAAAAAAAAGACACTTGTCAATATTGCATTAAAAATTTTCCCTCCAAAAATATATTCTTAAACTAAATCATTGTTACTTAGGGGAAAAAAAAATTGTATCTAAATTATGACATTTTTTTTAATATAAAATATAATTCCTTTTCAAAAATATTAAATTGTCCATTAATCCATTTTAGTTGTTACATGTAATTTAAATATTTTTTCTTGCTTCTTTTTATTTTAATACTAGTTTTGTATTAGTTGATAAAATTTTATGATAACATTTTTACTTGAATGTTAAATACGGTCAAATAATTCGTTCTGATAATGTAGGATATTTAAACATATGATATCATATGGAGTGTACTTTTGGTAATTTTGTTTGTAAACAGAAATCTATGTTATTATTGACTTGAAATTATTTTCATTGAACTTAAAATATTTTCACTGAACTGAAAGTATTTTTACCAAATTAAAATTATTTTTACCAATTAAAACCTATTTTTACTGATTCTCTAATATTTTTTTAAATAAATTAAATAACAATGCATTTTGTATGCTGCTAGCCGCACCAAAGTAACCCCTATAAAATTGACCGAGTAACCCCTGTAATCTGAGTAACATCTAACATTGACTAAGTAACTCCTATCTATAACACTGCTTGAGTAACCACTATAACACTGACCAAGTAACCCCTATAACACTAATGAAATAACTCTTGTAATAGTTGGTAACACAGTTTGACTAACTACGTATAAAAGTTTGTGACTAAATATATTATAAATGGATCTTATTTTAAAGAACTTTTTAAAACGAATTTGAGGATGAAGATAGAATTGAGTTATAGGATATTTATTAAAAGTTAGGATTAATTTTGTATAAATGGAATATTAGAATAAAATTTTATACAACAATTTTATCTAAAAATATCTATCTAAAAATCACTTACTTAGCATCATATGTGTCACAATAATACCTATTTATCTCCTATGTGGCGTGACACTTGGCGAAAAATTGAAATGGCAAGTGTCGTTGTCTCGTAGTCTGGCTGCGAGATCGACTTTATTTATTAGTGATATGATATGATATAATATAAACAATATTTTTAATACTCAAGCCATTCTATTTATATAACTTTTATAATATTATTTTTATAAATATTTAACAACCGTGCATTTACACGGAATTTAACCTATTACGAGTTGAGTCTATAAGTTACTAATGCCTAAAAAGGTTACTAGTACATGTCCAGGCCCACCGAGCTATGGCTTTTTCTTAGTTGGTTCGTAAGATTTGGTCAGATTCTCCTTAAGTCCAGAACCAAAATTTGTGTCCAAATAAATAACATTGTAACAATCAAATCTCTATTTGGTTATTGGCTTTAAGGGATTGGAGAATTGGTACTAGCCCTACTAGGCCACTACTACACACTGTTTTTTTGGCACTAGGGTTTGAAAAATCCGGTCTGAATCGAAATGGATATGATTGAGGGATTTCGATACGATCCTTATTAAAACTTTGATTCGGATTTTGATCTCAATCGGCTATTCATAAATAGTTATATTAATATTTGTTTGTAAAATGTAAATCATATCACCAGCGGCCCTAAAAGTTATTAGTAATTTTTACAATATTATAATCATGTTGGTAGAAAATTTTACTTATAATAATACATAGGTGTTGTATGAGGCGCTACATTTGGCATTTCGGTTGGCAAAAATTTACAATACCATATATTATTGTCTCAAAAGCCCAACTTTTTATACTTAGATTATGATATGATACGATTTGACAAAGGTAAATGTTTACGTAAAATAAAGAGTAGTACTCGAGTATAAACTAACTCAATTAATACCCTAGCATGTACTTTTCTTCGAAAATGCCAATTTTTGTTTACAACCTGTCTACTCCTTTTGTACTTTTTTTTTAAAAAACCTATATTCCTTTTTGTAACATTTGAGATGTTTTTTCACTAGCAAATCAACCATGTATGATTTCTTTTGCCTATGCCTTAATAGATTGACTTTGCTCTATAGGGCAATAAAAAAAGGAGGAATGAGTGAAGTATATTTCTATATGTCAAATTACATAACCGTTAAAACTTAAAAATACAGCATAATGAAACTGTGTTTGAGGGTCACATAGTCTGTTACTCACATGGAAAACTTCAGTAATTGTTGTTAATAAAGGGTCCCCAAATAATTTCTTTATTGTTTGCTTTTACGGAGTAGTCTGCAAACTTTTGTCAGTTTCCTAGACTCTATCATCTAATCACCTTCATTTGCTTGGGCATATTAAACATATCCATCCAAATCTACAATAATACTTTCTGGTGCTAAAAATCAAAAAAGCAAAACTCACCATACAAAAATTTACTGTAGTAGTTGATCTATCAAAAATGTTGTAGCTGTCTGTTAAGCAGTTTCTGAGCATTTTGATTAAATGCATAGGGCACAGCATTGGCAAGATGAATGCATGCTCATCAGGGAAAATTCAAGAACAAACCAGGACTGGTTAGAGTCAGTCATGCATTCGGAAATGCAGGCGACGCCAAAGGCCAATCCTTTAAGGGCAAAGATACCGGAAGCAGAAGTTCCCAGAGGTGCGGTTCATGTTTCAGAGGCATGATCGTTGCCAAGCTTGTCAATGTTGTGGCAAAAAATGCACTGTATTAGCCTTGCTTCAGTTAAGAATGCATCTAGGAAGTCTGCCCTTTTCCCTAGTTATTGTTTAGAAATTTTTACTTCGGATCGTAGTAGATTTGATGGTACTATCGAACATGTATTGAATGATTAGAACATTGTGTAGGCAAGAAGAGTTCAACATTAGTCAGCCACAGCTGATAACATACAAAGTATAAAGATTGATCATTGGACGAGTTCCTCGATTCAAGACGATAAAACATTGATCAAGAGAGAATCCAGTATGCGAAATAGGTTGGGAGTTTTGGGAGCTGGGAGCAACAGGATGGACATTAACAGCCATGCTAGACGTGGAAGCAAAAAAGTAAAGCAGAGGCCAAATAAAGGAACCTTGTGTACAAGTTATACAAGAAGTAGCAGAAACAATGGTATTCATTATGCGTAGCACCATACTGCCATAAAATATACATTGTGTTCTTACAGAAAGGACTACATAAATATAAATCCCTGTAAACTGTAAGCACATAGAACAGATTGTAAGAGCACATACAAGCCAAAACGTTCAATCAAGAAAATCACAATCAATCTGTCTATAGTACTTAGCATTTCCAATTCCAAGTACTAACATCCCAATTACAATCCAAGTGTCTTTAGCAGAATTGCGAGAAAGGATAGAGTACTAAACCTGTGTTGCCATCGCTCCAAAACTGATCTCTGTTGGGAGCTATACTTCGTGTTATTTGGTCAAATCAAACTATCAAACATCCAATATTGCAGGAGAACGAACGGTTGGGACTGGTTTTTTTTAGAGTTTTCTACAAACAAGGAGGAATCGGGAAGATTCGATAGCAAAGTGGAAGATCGAAAAGGAATGATAAAATAATCGGATGACCATGTGGTTCGAAAACTGCATCTTTGACTAACATTTTCTCTCTTTAGACAAGTATGGGTTCTTCATGGAAAACTCAACGACTTCATAATTCACAAACTCACAAAGTACTCACTCACTACGTAACAAAATTAATGCAAAAAACACCAAAACAAAAGTGTACAACTATTCAATGTAATCATAAATTTTATATCTACCAAAGTACAAACATACTAATTTCAATCCAATGTCATAACTCAAGATCTAAATAACATTTGCACAATTGCACATCATCATCATCTTACATCATACATAAAACTACAGGATATGAAATCTACCCAATAGCAAAAAAAAAAAAAAAAAAAAAAAAAAATGAATCTAAATTTTTTCCCATAACATACAATTTATACCCAAAATTCAAGAGTGTAACATTTTACTACTAACAAAATATCATCAGAAATTACCATAATAGACATAATAATAATAATACACATTATAAATGAAACAATACAAAATAAAACTACCAAATTAAATTTGTTAAATAAATGTTAACCTCTTATTGATAATAAAGATGGAATGGCAGCCAAATTAGGCGTTCCATTACTAATCTTAACACTCCCATCACCACGACCACCACCACCACCAGGCTCCCCTCTACTATCATACCGAGTCGTAGTCGGTTTCGCAAATGCCCTCATTGGGCTAGCAAAAGCCCACCCCCAACTCCGACTCCGCCCATGAACAAGCGGCCCAGCAGGAGTCACTGTCGGCCCATTAGGCCGTCCATCTCCAGCCCCTCAATACGACGAAGACGACGAAGTTGTCGATGAAGAAGAGGAAGTAACAATAAGTCCGCCGAATAAACCACCGCACCGGACTTTCTCCCGAACGGTATCCCCGGCGGCGCGTGAGGTTGAGTGTCGGTGTTTACTCCCTTCTCGATGCGACTCCACGCGCCGGAGCGTGCAATCGCCAAACCCAGTCGAAATCCTCTCGAAAAAATCCCCTGAAAAACTCCTACTACCACATCCTACAGATCTAGATCTAGACACTTTTCTCCCAAACGACGCCGTATTACTCGCTCCTCCGCTACTATTCGGACTCTCATCCGTCTCATCCATCACAACCACCGCCGCTGACGTCGCCGCCTCCGTCGTATTTTCCGGCGGCGCGGTTGTTGTAGCCGAAGGAGTGACAATCGTTGTGGGTTTTTTGTGGTGGGTGTTGGAGATGTGAAGGAAAGACCAAAACCCTCTTCTTCTCGGGCTGAAATCTTCTAGAAAGCGAGCAGATCGAGGGGTAGCAGATGATTTACTTCTCTTGAGCACAGAATTATTAGCGGAGAAAGAAGAAGACTGGACATCATCTGAAGGAGGAACAAGACCAAGAGCTTTCTTCTTTTTCTTTTGAGTGAGTAGAAAAGGTATGCGGGGCCTACTAGTAGTAGTAGAATGATCTTTTTGAAGATGATTAATAGTATTATTATGACGATGTTGATTATAATGATGGTGATGGTTGTGATTGCGACTATTTGTAGTGTTGGCGAGAATGGTGTTGGAAGCGGTGGGGATGGAGATGGAGAGTGAGGTGGTTGCGGCGGAGGAAGGGAGGTCAGATCTGAAAGAAGGGGAGGAAGAAGAGGAGTTAAAGAGGAAGGAAGATGAAGAGGTGGAGACGAGTTTACCGAGTTTGTCTTGAAGGCAAAACGCGCAGATCCCTCCGCTGGGGGAGGTGGTGCGGTAAGGGTGGTCTGTGCATTGCATTCCGTCGCTGCACATGTCGTCGTCGACCGCCATATTGGGTGGTTGTTAGGTTTTGGAATGAATGAATGAATATTAATGAATGAATGAATGGGGGGTGATTCAGAGGAGAGGGAAAGAGAGCGAGAGAATGAGTAGGAAAATGAAAGAGCATTGAAGGGAGGAAAGAAGGTGAGGATGTCAAGTGATGGAGAGAGAGAGAGAGAGAGTACTAGCGTACTAGAAGGTGACGAGTCAATGTGGAGTGTTTAGCAAGTGCATTACTTGGCGCGTTGGTGTTATTGATCATGGAATAATTAAGCATCTAGTCTTAATCACTTCGTAAAATAGAATTAACCGTTGCAATATTTAAACAACGGAAGAAAATGAAAAAAAATTTAGGCAAATGATAACGAGTCTCGATAGCTTTAGATAAGAGAATTAAAAGTGGAAATATTGAAGTAAAATTAACATTAATTACACTGATCGATGTATGATTTTGTCATGCATTTCGAACTTAATATTATTTTAGGTATTATATTAAGGGTAATGATATATGTAGCCCTAAGGGTAATGTATAAGCATTAAATATACTTTCTAAAATGGAATTAAGTTGGGAATTCATGACAAAATCACGCGCAGATTGATGTAGTTAATGTTAATCTTTCCTCATTATTTCCTTTTAAGCTTTTTATACATAGCCTTAAATATATTAAGGGTTTTGCTATACATAGCCCTAAGGGCTATGCATAAGAATCAACAATTTCATATCATTAATTCTATTTTTCTTGTTCCAATGGAATCTTATATTACTATTAATCCAGAATTAATCCATCCCAAAAATGTAACTAATACTTTTCTAGTTTTCTTAGTTACACAATTAATTACCATGAAATTTTTCCAAAAATAAAAAAAAAATAAAAAATAAAAAATAAAGTTCAATATCATCATACTCTCTCCAGTCCAATCTATCCTAAGATGGATTCAACTGGTTGTTTGGGTGCCGAAGATATGCGAGATCGTATGTGGCACTTCTAGTAAAATACCTTTATTTTATTTGATATGTATGAATAAAATATTTTGAAACAATGAAGATTGGCTAGGCATGGAAATAGTACTCCATTAAAAGCTTGAAAAGGATGATAATAACTTAAGTTTATCTCCTAATAAACCAAATCAGGCGTATAAACAATTTTTTTTTTTTAAAATAAATATCTTAGCAGCACACTAATATATTGCAGTATTGTCCACTTAGTATTATCTAATAGATGGTTTGGTTGCTATATGTTGTTTCTTGAAAGAATGTGGGTAAAATATTGACTTGCACGGTGTTTATTTTGGATTTTAATACTACTTAAATTTTTTTCTTTTTTTACAGTATATATAATTTTCTATTGGTATGATGTTAGATTTGTTAGTGCTTAACTAATTAAATAAAATACAAAAGTTTAATCCTGAAAGGAAAATAAAAATAGCTTTAATGGGTTAATAAATGCATTTTGATAATAACTTATCCCATAAACAATATTACATTAAATTAATAATAACTTAAATTAATAATACTATAAGATTCCATTGGAACAAGAAAAATAGAGTTAATGATATGAAATTGTTGATTCTTATGCATAGCCCTTAGGGCTATGTATAGCAAAACCCATATATTAATTAGCTATCTAATGTCCGGGACAGTTGTTAACATGATTCTTATTATTTATTAGATTCATACTCTATCAATTTTTATTTGTCTTTGACTGGTTTTTAGCTTTTAGAGTATACTTCGTATGGTAATACTTTTGTTTTTCATTTGTTACAAATTATTTTAGTAAGAGCATTGTTAATAATTTTTATTATTAAGAATATGACTTATATTATGGAGTAGTATTTATTATATTACGCTCGATAATTTATCATCATTATATGGCCTCTTAAAACGACCCCAACACTCCTGTTAAACTTAGATATATAGATAATATGACAATGATGCATGTGGCATTGGTGGTGCTCGCAAGTCATATGCTTGGATTTTGGATGAGTCAAGTACAGTGGTCACCTTATAAATGATTAAAATGGATCAAATTAAGATGGAATGAGCCAAAATGAGAAAGAAGAGAGACAAAATTGAGTACATGTGAATGTAAAACTAGACTTTTATTCATTTTTTTTCTTTACTATCAGATATAACTATTATGAGAGTGAGGGATAGTTCAAGTGGCAAAAAATATAACTATTATGAGTTCATAACTATTACGTATATATATTAGGTCGTTGTTTTGCAAAGAATGTCATATATGTATATATATTAGGTTGTTGTTTTGCAAAGAATGTCATATATATATATATATTAGATCAAAGGGTATTTGATGATTATTGCTCAATTAAGGTAACTTTTTATGCACTTTACATCTAGGCGTGTATACAAAATTTCAATTGTTTTGACCTTATTTAGAACATTGACATCAATTTTTCAAAACCTTTTGCAAGTGTAACTGTGCAAGCGAGACTCTTATTCTTCTATTTCACTTTTAAGTATTTTAAAAAATTGCGAAGATTGAGATCTGATCAAGATCATTCTCTTATCCTATAATGAACAATAAGAGTAATAAAATATTTATCTGAATTACTATTTTTTTATTAACTTGACCACAACCGGCAACCTTAAACGGCTATACCTATACGGCGGTGGAGAAGTAAATGAAGCAAAGGTAGTGTGGCGGTAGCAATAAATAAGGAGTTGATTATAAAAAAAAAAAAAAGAAGGTGAGATTAAGTTAAGTCTAAGGAAAGAGAAAAGAAAAGCCCACATGCAAAGAGGAAGTGAGCGAAGAGCGTGTATTTCAATCGTGGGCCTTTTTAGTTTGTCATTTAGTTAGACTTGACTATTCATTATCTTTTCCAATTATTATTAGTTCCCGACTAGGGAGTTATCCATTTTGTTTTTGTGTTTGAGTTGTGGATTGTGTTTGATTGATACCTTTTGACATGAAAAAGTTTTTCTTTTCTTCATCATTTTTGACATGGAAAAGTTAGGTCATGCAATATCAACATCTTCTAACAAAAGCATAATCTTATACAAGTAGTAATAAAGTTCAAACACTAAGGCTATGATTAGATTACATGATTGGAACTTATTTGATAATTCTGAAATTGTTACCCACCTATTGTAGGTGGGTCTTATCAGATAAGAAGAGTATATCAGAAATATCAGAGTATATTTGATAATTCTGATATACTCTTCTTATCTGATTTTTAGATTTATACGAAGTATTTGATTTAAAAATTGATGTTATTTATACAAAATTCTTAAGATGATCAAATGATATGTCAATAAATTTTGTATTAATTTGTATTTTTCACATATGGATATTTAGCAATAAGTGGCTGCAACTTTAGTATGATATAATTTGATTTGACCATTTGTGAAATAAGATCGCATTTAAAATAAGCTGAACTAAATTAAACGTAGCTAAGCTATATACGTACTTGGGCAAGATGCATGCCTAAATATATAAATTTGAATGATTTCTTTCGGAGTTTTGTTTATGTAAATATCCAAAATCAAATCTTTAGTATCATCAATAAAATTTTAATTGTAATGAGATTTTAACTCAAAGCAATAACACAATTTTTGTGTTGCAATACAACTTCCTAACATTTCTTACTCCGTATTTTATAACACATTAACTGTTTTTTTTTTTCTTCTTCTCTTTTGACTGGATTTATAACACATTAACTTGGCGCTCATGATAAACCAAACTTTTGGCTATATGTAAAAGTCAAACTATTGCCTTTAACCTAAAAAGGAGAGGGTTACTTTGTTGAGAAATCTAGAAGTGCACTTTTGAATTGAGTATTATAATGGAGAAGTTTCATACAATAGCAAGCATTAAAAAAACTTGGTAACTTTATGTAGCCAACAGCAACCAGTTGAACAAGTAGGATTACAATCCTTGATAAAGAATCGAACTTTCGTCCAATAATTGAATTTAATCAGCATAAAAATGACAATAATATTGCACAACCTCTGGAAAAGCAGAGACCATACCCTTAAAAATACAACATACACTCCTAGAATGCCCATCAGTGTAATGAGCAAACACCAGGAAAACTAGCTGAACTACCCGAAAAATCCCTAACCACTAGATCACCCTATGTAGTAAGCCTTGGTCATTACAAACTAATAATGATCACATGTTAGCTTATGTTACATCGCTAGCTCACTTTGCAAGCTAAGAAATTTTCTTCCCTTGAACCGACTTGATTCACCAACATCGAATTGATTGGCATGGCTTCAGATAATTCGAAATTGGCATCTAATATCTTAAGGTCAAGACTCTCTTTGAATCATGTTTAAGAGGTCCTGCACTATTTCTGACATAGGAGGCCTGAATTCTGGTTCGGCCTGAAACAAAATTAACAAGGTATGAGGTGTGATATTTCCAGTTTGTTAACATATAGAAGCTTTTAATATTTCTAGACCGCAATTCATAATGGATTGTCTTAAAGCTAACTTTTTCATGTTCTTGGTGAGGTTGGTAAAGAATCATGTTCCTGTTCACGAATTCAAACCGATACATTGGCCAATTTGAGTAAATTGGTTGGGTTGCGGTTTGGTATTGGTTCAGTTTTGGTTTATGCTCAAAACAAAACTCGTATAAAAGTGTGCAAAACATGCTATATTTATGTGTTATGAAATTATGATTTAAGGAGCAAACCGGGACAAATTCTAGTTGATTGGGTTTGTGTAGGCCTATTGAGTCATGTTTGAATTATTCAGTCACGTTACGTCAGAGACCCATTTGAATAATCAGATCACTTTAAAGAATGTCAAACAAAAAAATATATAGGTGGATCATGAGTAAAGACTGACCTGAACACAGAGGGAAATAATATCTGCAAAGCGGGATAATGATTTAGAGGGATACGATCCATTCAGTGAAGGATCTACCATCTTTGATAGCGCATCTATGTCATGCAGCTGAGGAATTGCCCACCTCACAAGAAATTGCTCTCCTCGAGGTCGTGCACTACAATATTACAAAGGAACACATCAATGAGCTCATGTATGGCATAAAAAGTACTTTTTTCCTGGGGGTAATTGCAATAAGAAATTTGAAACATGGAAATCTTGTGTTTACTATATCTAACCTGTCGTAGGATTTTCTGCAAGTAAGAAGCTCTAGCATGACTACCCCGAAGCTGAAAACATCACTTTGTTGAGTATATGTTCCTAGCTCAAGTTCTGGAGCACCATATCCACCAGAAACCTGCAAGAAATGACATCATAGTAAGCAGCCGATAC